CATTGGAAAATATAAAAATAGAGATGTTATATAATTTTCCACACGAACCAATTCACATTTCTTATTTTTCAACTTATTTCAATATTTCATGACAAGTATGCTATCTGCAGATTAGTCTTAGTGTCTTATTCTGTTGATAGCCAAGTCACTATTCATCCTGGTGGCACCCCACATTTTCCCCACCTTGAATCATAGTACCTTTTGATCAATACTATGTAGTGTTGATAATCAAGGGTAACCTAGGTTCAGTTCAAGTCAACCAGCTCTATCACGGATAACATCAGAGGTATAAAATGAAAATATAAAAGCACATTTACCTTCAGGAACTCTTAATCTAAGGGCTAATATACTATAAGTCAAGGCTCAAGTCCTGAAAGAAACATTAGTAAGGAATTTAAAGAAGCCAAATGAAACCAGTCACAGTGGCGCACGCCTGTGATCCCAGCGCTCAAGGCTGAGGCAGGATGAACACAAGTTCAAGGCTAGCCCAAGCTATACAGAGAGTTCCAGGCCAGCCTGAACTACACAGTGAGACCCAGTCTCAAACATAAAAACAAAGAAGCAAACAAACAAAAAACCATGTAAAGCCAAATGAAGGGCAACTTCAAGGCAATGAAACTCAAAGAAGATTCATGGAGGAGGAAGCGTTGGAGACACAGATGGTCAGAAGGTAGGAGCAGGAACCCTGAGGCACATCAAGTGGAGGATCTATCATGGCCAAAGTGCAGACTCCAGGAAAAGGAGAGATAGATTCATTTTTTCTAGCCTCTCTGGGAACAGAAGGTACACAAAGTATAAGTGAAATAATCTCTGCAAAGGAGATTTGGGGCTGTGAACACCAGGCTAACAAGTTTGTATCTAATCTTATAGGTCATGGTGATTTTTATTACCCTGTATGTATTTGCTGGATATGTGGAAATGGTCATGGGGATACACCTGCAGCTTTGTGCCCTATGTATTCCATTTGTCCCTTTGCCTCTGTGGTTGGAGGCTGGCTTAGGCAGACTGAGTCACAGATTCCATAGGCTTCCTGTGCCTGACTTCCTTGCACAGGAAGGTTGGTAGGAGAGAAGGGGGAAGGGAAACTGTCAGTTCTTTATTCCCCAGCTTCTTCCCCATGGATTGCACTGAGCTGTCTGCTTCCCTCACTGAAGGTCGGGTGTTCCTCTCTCTGTCTCTGGGTTCTGGTGGTCACTCCCTCCCCTCATCTCTCAGGACCAGGACCAGGGTGGCTATCAAAGATCCCTCTATTAAAATTCCCATGCCTTGCCCAGTATGTATGTTCTTTGTCGCTTGCCGAGGCTCTAATGCAAGCTCCAAGTAATCAGAAGTCAAAAGGAAACTGATGACAACAGTGGGTAGGTACCCCAAGGCCTTTCCCCAAGAACTGTGTTCCTGGCCTTCATTCAGCAAAAAATTAAGAAAAAACCCCACTCAGAGCAGGCTTGGGAATGGCTGGTTCTTTGAGATCACTGTAATGAACGTATGGGCTGCTGGAGGTCAGTCTCCTCTGGCTTGTTGGATCTGACTGTTCCAGTAAACTGAGGTCAGTTATTTATTTCCACCACCTGCCTTCTCCCCAGACTTCCAGACTTAGTGGCTTTCATCCCCCAAATTGGTATTGGATGTCCTTAAAAGTCTGTCAGTCATTTTTTGATCTTGGATTGATTTAGTAGCTTTATTTAAAATCAGATTAATTAGCTCCAAATCATGTAGCATACAGAAGTTAAGTTTAAGAGGGGTCAAGGGTGGAAGATAGGTTTCAAGGTAGGATGCTTGTATTCACATGAAACCAACCTTAACAGAGGGTCATTTAGAAAACGACAATCATTCTGACTTTCACCTTTAAGAATCCTGTGTTAGATATGGACAGCTAAGTCAAAATTATTCCTCTTCCAAAAGAAGACATTGTTTAAGAACTACTGCTGAAAATAAGCAAAAGGCTAAAGAGATCTCATGTTTTTGAATTTTCTAAATTAATTAAGTTTATCGGTACATTTTATTTATTTATTTATTTATTTTTGGTACCTGGGATCGAACTCGGGTCCTTGTGCTTGCGCTTGCACAGCAGGTGGCGAAACCACTGAGCTAAATCCCTGGCCCTATCAGTACATTGTAGATACATGTAATGATCATATTCATCACAGGGAATTTGTACCTGTACATGATATATCTTGGTTCTTCTTTTTGTCCCATTTCCCTTTCCTCTCTCTATCATTTTTAGTTAGAAAAATATTCTCTATTATATCCAAGTCACAGTGCATTTAGATTCTCATAGATTAATATTCCTAGTTATTTGGTGTTGAAGTTGAATTTCAGCCATAGGCAATGTTAAGGAAAGTCTTTATTCCATCATCTGAAGCCCATGTCAGGTCAAATGTGCTAGATCAAACACAATAACCGGAGTCAGGAAGTGTGGCAGAGCTGCTTCAGGGTTCTGTGCCCAGGCCACTTTTAAAGGCTGGAAGGAATAATGCTCATCAACAACATGGTGACACAAAATACAAAGTTACTGGGGTGCATGTAACCTCCTGACACTCAGCTGATCTCCGACTTCAGAATGTGACACCTTGCCCAAATTCCTCCAAACCTCCAGTCTAACAGGGAGGTGGCTCAAACTTTTCAGTTGAATATTTCTCTAAAGCAAATAGCTAAATGTAGAGCAATATTTTGAATCCTTGCTTCCAAAATGAGTCTCCAACTCATTAAATGCCACTTTTTTTTAAAAAAAAAGCTTGCAAACATGACTTAACTCTAGTCTATCAAGTTGAGGCATTTCATTACCAGGTAGTTTATCCTGCTAGTGTTTATATTTTATTTTCCAGTTTTCATAAATGCAAAGGGTACCTCAGCCAGCTCTCAGCTCTTGAAACTGCTGACAACATACATCATGCCCGATATAAATATTTACATCATCAAAATAAATGTTTCCAAAATCCCAAACTCCAGTGCATCTGAAAATTGATTTGGATCAGGTACACTTCGCTGAATTGGAAAGATGAAAAAAAATACACTTGTCAAAAACAAAATAAAGACTCAAAACAACAGTAACAAACATCATAACACGAGAGGGACTTTTAACACCAGGCTATCACCCAGTCTTTCCCCCAATAATTTCAGGGAGAAGCTATCTTAAAATGTGTTTTTTTCATTTACATCAGCATTTTCCTCTAAGATGATCTAAGGGAAGATGGAATACAAATCTACCATTTCTGCTTGTTTTCCATCTTTCTCACTGTACTGCTTATGTGTGCTTTACCCAAAAATCCTTGAGGTGCATGCCATAACTCTTAGGAGAAAGATCCAGTCCTTACCACAGCCTCAGGATCTGTTGTCTGCCACCTTCTCCAGCCCAGACCCCAGCCACCTGCAATCACTCCTCTCTTTGGTCTTTGAGCATTAGCCTTGCTGGCCAGCTTTTAGGTAATTCTGGAACTCAAGCACCAAATCCCATTCTGTCTCTGGCTATTTGTTTGCTTTTACTGCTTTCCCCTTTGCCTAGAATGCAATTATCCCCCATCATACTCTCCAAGAAAGAAGAGGTGACTGAACATTGAGCCAGTGTCCCATCTTTCCCTTCTTGCACTCTGATCAGTAAACTCTGATCAGGAAGCTCACACGTGCTCATGACTTTAAAAGATGGACCATTTTGGGGAGAGGTGTATGTAGAAGCTGTGCCAATTTTCTTTAGGTTATAAAGAAGCCATAAATGGAACAATAATTAGAGTAGCTTGGCTTTCTCCAGAATCAGAGCACTCAACCAAATGACCTACATAGGATCTTTCTACAAAAAAATGCTTCTCAAGTCATATTTAAATCAGCACATAAATGCGCCGTAGCCAAATGATTTCAATGTCCCATGCAGTGTATTTTTTTTTTTTTTTGTACCAGGGATTGAACTTGGGACCTTGGGCTTGCCAGGCAGGTGGCGAAACCACTGAGCTAAATCCCCAGCCCCTCATGCAGTGTCTTTTAAAACAGGCCTGTGACCTGACCCAAACTTAGTTACACCTTGTGGTGAGTCATTAGGTTCATGTGTGTGGAGGTATGACCATTACATGATAGAAAAGAGACTCTGTTATATTCAAAAGGGGAAAATACAATTTAGAAGCTCCTGGTTGAGGATGATAAACAGATTACATGAGAGGAAGAGGGAGCAGACACCACTGAGCCCAAGCCCTGCATAATCAGCCTCCAGAAGTAATAAAAATTGTCTATGATTTTACCCTTAATTGTTTGCACATTGGTGATTTCTCAGTCCTCTTGAGTTCACAGTCGAATCACTTTCAGACACAATTTTCTCTGCGTGTAGGGTTTTCCCCCATTTTCACAGTAAATGGTAGCCGAACAGAAATGTCTAGCAGGAGCAATGCTAGATCCCAGCAAAGAGAAGGCCCCGTGGGGAGTGTGCTCATCCACAAATGAAGCAGGAGTTTGTCACGGAGACAAGAGAGCACAAGGGGGATTTAGGTGTGAGAATCACAGAGCACAGCTCAGCATTTCTGTGCAGGAGAGAAGATTCTTAGCCAGCAAGATTCCCCTATGAAGATTAATTATTGATTTTCTTATAAATCATCTAAGGTGATTGCTGTTTGTGTTTCCTCCCAGGATCATAAACATCTGATTTTACTTTCATTAAATTTTTTTCCCCCTGTACTGAGGTTAAAAGAAGGCCCAGTAAAGAGTCTCCGAGGAAGGATTTTCCAGCATAATGTGCTGGTGAGACAACTGTGTTTTTAGGCCTTCATGGGGTACCAAGGGATAAGACCTCAGGCAACCCTCATGGGCTGCACAATAATTAGAAGCACTAGAGCTTGACTAGGTGGGGAGAAAAGGCACAACTTAGACATAATTATTTTTCTTGGCAGTGGGCCTGAGGTTCGTGGTTTTTCTAGGTGGAATGACAAAAGCACAGCAGATTGACACCTGCAGGATCAGCTCTCAGAATCAGCACTGACACCAGTCTTCAGCCTAAGGATTGAACCAAGGCCATGGCTTACCTTCCTGCCTCCAGTGTTGATGCGAAGGGGCGTCAGGAAGGGGTCGAAGATCATGTGACTCGTCTCTATGTTGACCGGAGACTGCCGTTTCCCCACAGAACAAAGATTCCAAGCTGAGTTCACCAATCCCCAGAAAGAAGGAACTAGAAACAAAAAGAAGAAATAGAATTAGGTGGGGCAGAAGGTGGAGAAGCAATGTGGAAAGAGCTATGATACCAAGTGCTAAAATGTGCCAGTTGATGGAGATCCCCAGGGGTTGCTATGGCATTTTCCTGGCATGAATCTAGGTCAGTTTCTCTAAGACCTATATTCATGATCTCTGAGGTCAGATTTTCTTGTTGCAGGCCCATTCATTCTGTGGCCTCTTCATTGAGTACAGTTAGCTTTAATACTTTAGTACCGACATCATCTTTCAAGCCACATCAATTCTACAACGTGTCCAAGATACACCAAATATTTAGTTACTCTGGGACTGACACTTTGTTTTCCCACCTGGCAGGAATGATGTGAGAATCAACCTTGTCTAATCTAGAAGGCATTTGATTTTCAAAGAAAGTGTCTTTTGACATATACAAGGTGTTTTTCTATGAGTTGTCAAGAGGGAGTGAGGGAGAGAATTATTTTTATGACCCCCAATCAACACTAGACAGGAGCTTGGTGACTCAACTCTGTCTTTGTTTGGATCAGCACTGTGTCATTAACCTAATGTTCCAGCAGCTGAGGAATGTGATCATTTGATAGGCAGAAAAAAATGACAATGACATTGTGTGCTGAGTGCAAATTTCCAAAGGAAGGCAGGAGAGCTCCCTGCTGTGTTCAGCATCATATTAAAACATCTATTAGGATAAATCATATGGAATGTCCAGTCTTCTTTTCTGCTGAGAAAGTTAGCAGAGGTATGCAGAGTGCCAGCCTACTCGTTTCTATGTCAGGGAAGACACTATACCTTCAGCCTTTGACTGCCCCTCTCAGCACTTCCATTGAGGCACAGGAGCCATGTGTCCTCCATATGCCCTTGAGATTATATGGCCATTCATTCACTCATCCATCCACAGTATGTAAAGTGAACTTCTATCTCATGTTCAGCCCTGGGTCAGGTTGAATCATGAGGAAGCCAGGTAGGCACAGGACGACAAATATACCAGGGAGTTGAGTGTGTTATGACACTATAGGTGTCACCTGTGCCTTCCCTGAGTGGGACCGGGGATGATTCCTGACATAGTGAGCATAGGAAACATGTCACAACCCTGCTAAATATACCTGACCTCTCAAAAACTGGAATTTAATGTACACTTTCACTTTCAGCAGCCTTTGTTCCTGCCAATCACTCAGGCAGAGAAAACCGAGGTACAAGAAGGGTCTTGGAAAATATTTGCCAAACACAGGTTCCATCATTTGGGAGGAGAATTGGGATAGGATAAACAGCATATCTACCCATATCTCAATCCAAGATTCTATGATACTCTTTGCTTCTATCAATGCTGGGCAGAAGGGAGAAAACTAAACTTAAATTCCTTAGATTCCCAGACAAATCTTCAGTACCAAAAAAGACTGCTTTCACTGTGAAATAAGGGAAATACTGAATTAGGTTTAATCCATGGGGACAAGACTCAGATGGCTCCATTCCCTTTAGTTTAACCAAGGAATTTGGATCAGCTTTGTAGCCACTAATGATTTTCAAAACACCATGAATGACCAGAGTTACAGAGAGAGAAAGAGAAGCAAGAGAAGAAGGAGCAAAGGGAAGAGTAGAAGCAAGAGCTTTTATAAATGTGCTTCCTTGGTGGTCTCATTTCTTACTGTTTCAATTATATTATCTCTGCAAATAACATCTTTACAAAGTACTGTGTCCTAGCAAAACTGTAACATTTAAGGAAGTTCTTGCATTAAGAATGTGCTTTTAAAAAGACAAGTTTCTGTATTTCCTATGCTGATCTTTTCTTTAATCACTGGCTTAATCTTGTACTCATTCCTCAATAAATTCAAGTTTATTATTAAAGTCTCCTTCAGGGCATTCTCCCATCTATCTTTGCCAGTGATGTGTGGAAAAGTGGTATATGAAAGGATACCAGGGATACAGTCACAGCACTCACAGAAGGCAGTGAGGTCTCTGGTAAGTCATGTATCCTTTGGGCCTGGGTTGGTCTCTATGGCTTCTTAGGGAGGCTAACTAGTGGCTCCCTTCCAAAAATGTCACATCCTATCTATATGGTACATTATGGTACAGTTTGCATCTGGAATGAGTCCCAAAGGCCTTTCTTCGCACTATTAGAAGGTGGTGAAAAGCTTTAAGAAGTAGGTCCCAGTGGGAAGTTTTAGGTTATCAGGGGTATGGCCTTGGTGGCTGTTTTGAGACTCCATCCCTTTTCTTCTTTGCTTCTCAGCCACCGTAACCTGAGCAGCTTCCTCTGCCCCGGGGTCTTGCTGTGATGTGCTGCCAAGAGCAACTGGGTCAGCCAAGGATGGACTGAGACTTCTGAAACTGTGAGTCGAAATAAACCTTTCTCTTTTTCTAAGTTGATTATCTCAGGCATTTTGTGGCAGTAATGGAAAGCTGAACACACCCTGTAAAAGGTAATTTGCAGATTGTAAGTGAGTTAAAGATCCCCAGATGGGGAGATTATGTGGGTGGAGCCAATGCAATCATGAGAGTGCTTATAAAAAGGAGATAGGAAGGTCAGAGATATAGAGAAAATAAGGATGGAAAAAAGAGAAAAGAGGGAGAAAATAAGTCTGTTGGCTTTGAAGATTGAGGGAAGGGCACAAGCCAAGGAATGTAGGTGGCTTGTAGAAGCTGGAGCAGGTACAACAACAGCTTCTCCACCACTAGCCTCCAGAAAGAACAGAAGATTGCTGTAGTTTTAACCCTGTGAAAATCATTTTGGACATCTGGCCTCCAGAACTGTAGGTAATAAATCTGTGCTGTATTCAACCACTCTGTGATCATGTTACAGCAATATTAAAAAAAAACAAAACTGATACAGCTCCTTTTTATCTTTAAAACTCTGTGAGACAAAACCCTCTTTGACAATCTAGAAGTCTATGTCAGGGGTTTGGTGGCTTCTCTGGAAGGCAGCTGCATGATAAATGTAGCTACAGCTGGTGCACATTGCATTTCATTTACCTCCATGAAAATTATTAACAAAAATAATTCTAACCCCATAAATGGGTTGTAAGGCCACTATCATGTGGCAGCATGGGTGGGCAGATGCTGCTGTGCCACACTAATAAACTTCATTTTCAGAAAGTGGTCCCACAAAAACACAAACAGCAAAATCTTTATGTGAACATCTGCCTTTGCTTTTATTGGGCATGGGATTCTTTATGACAAACAGTTTCAGGGTTTTGCATCCCCTTTTCACTATCAAATCTTGTGCCTCTGATTGTAACTACCTGCTCAGAAATTAGAGAATAACAAAGAAACACTCTGTTATGTCCCACATTGGGTCCACTCCTGCAGGGGCATCTAAGCTGACTCACCAATGACTTGCTGATTTTGAATCAGCCATAAATGAATAGGTTCTTGTTTTGTTTTGGTTTTGTTCATTTGTTTTTTTGTTGCTGTTGTTTTTAGAACTAGAAGCCACTTTAGAGATCATTTGATCTAAACACATATGTGGAATTAAGGACATCAGGGCAAAGTGTAGAGCCTTCAACTCATAGACACTCATCTAGGTAGAAGTGAGGAAAAGCAGAGCAAACACAAGATCTTAGATCTCAAGACTTCCAGTGACATGAGGCTTTACTGATTGAACCATTCTCCTTCAGGAGGCTCCATCCATACGCAGATGATCACAGCCAGAGAATTTTGTGATCACCATGACCCTGCAAACTTTTTGCTGCCATTTTTCTCTTGGTAAATTGAGAGTGACCATGAAAATAAAATTTACAAGTTAAGGCAGTCCCAAGGTTGCCAGTCATGCTGAAAACACCAAATCAGCCTGCGCCCCGGCAGCAATCCACTGGGCCACCCCCCCTGCTCCTTTGGCCTCTTCTCTGTACAGCCACCTGGTTCCATACTACAAAGACGCAGAGGACACCAGACCACCAGAACACTGTACTGGAGCTAATTGAGTTCTCAGCATGTAAAGAATTCCTGCCCAGAGGTAGGAGCTTTTGAGCCACTGTCCCACTGCTCCTGGTCAAGAGGAAGGGGCTGCCCGGCCACCATTCCTCCCATTGCTTCCAGCCCAGAGGAAAGGGCTTTTGGCCTGCTGTCCATCCTTCCGCTCCTGGCCCAGAGGTAGGGGCTTCTGAGCTGCTGTTCCACTGCTCCTGGTCCAGAGGAAGGGGCTTCTGGGCCACCATCCCTACCACCACTCCCGGCCGCTGGCCCACCTCTCCCAGCTCAGAGGAGGTGAGCCGCGTGGGTGCCAACAGCACCCCCCCCCAGTCAAAATGAGAAAACACTTAAATAAGTCTCAAAACCAGACTTCCAGATCA